AAATAAATGAGGTCACACATTTAAAGGAACAGCCTGTACTTGCACAAATCCAAAGCATCCTCTTAAAACAATCTGTACATATTCATTTACATATCTTATTGCTTCTCTGGTGCCCAAGAAGTCACCAACTTGAATTTGATAAATTAGAGATTGCAAGGGTTGCAACTATATGCTGGACTTGGTGTGCTGGTACCTGAATGAAGGCTTCCACTTAGTAGTTAAGTGAGATTTTTATCCTTAAGCCTTTAGCTAAGTAATCTTTTAATTTCTTGATATTCTACAATTCCATTTAAAGCGGAACTGCTACGTTAGATCAGGAAAGGAAAAATAAACAACATATGCATGACATTTTGCCTCATAATTTAGTAGGATGAATGGACTGAGGCATCTATTGGATAGCTTTGAAGGAAATGTAAAAGGTCTGTCTGTCACTAGGGGATTGCAAGTTCCATCTAATTGTGGATAGCATGTCATCAGTCTGTCTTGTATAAAAATATGTTCCTGTTCGTAAATTCACCAGGAACATGCAGTACCTATTAAACTTAAAGATGTGCAGCCGCTGTGGATCAGCAACAAATATTTGTTCGTCTATATTATTTTGACAGCACAGGTGCAAAGTGGCGACAGCTGCCATATACTAACTCTTTAAGGCAGGTTGCATAGCATTTTCTATAGAGCATTTTCCTTCTTCAGTCTGAAGGTGCTTCTACCAGCAAAAGCATTAGAGAGCTTCCACTAAAATCAGATCAACATGCATCTACCATATTGTGTGTGTCTGCTCCATGTAATGCTGATCCTGCCCTGGTGAGGACAGCAGCTGGTGGACCCACTCAATGTGGGTATCATACCTACAACTCGGACCACAATGCTTTTTCTAGTTGAAAAGCTTCTCTGGCTCCTATCTCCTTTGATCTACCTGTACCTGTTGTTCTTCTGCCACTGAAAGGATCCTCAGTGGATGGTTCAGTAAGTGGAAACTGGTATTCACCTGTTGTCCAGAAACAGCTTTGTGGTGATGAGAGCAGCATTTTGATAAATGTTTAAAGAAAAGAGGATCTTCCTTGTGAAACAGTGAAGAAACTCATTGGCACAGCTGGAGGGCAGGGTGCTGACTTGATGTGAGTCGCACCATTTAGCTCTACAAAAATTATGAAATACTTAAGAGACAATTTGAGTTTTGTTGACTTACTAGCTGTTCTGGCACAGCTAGTAGAGTAGAACGTGTCAGGCAGCTTCTGGAGAATACACCAGATGCAGTGATAACTGCACAGATATCTCTGGCTGCTTGCATCAATGACTACTAAGAATACTCTGGCTTCTGAATTGTCTTGCTATACGGAATACAGGCTGGGCTGTCTGTCATGAAGTGTCACTTCCTTGATTCCAGTCTTCATAAAAAAAGTAGCTTGGGTTTCCTGAGGTCCTGAGCATCTAAAGATGCCATTGACTTCAGGTGGACATTGGAGCGCTCAGCTACTTAGAAACAAAAAAGTGTATGTATTTTCTTACACAATCCCATATATATTTGTATGAAGTGGTTGCATCAGATTATGATAAAGTGAAATTATAGCCTTCATCACATGCAGTAAGTAGGTACAATATGATTGTTCAACATAGTGTTTGCAGCTATGAAATATTGTATTTACCTGAATTCAACATGACTTTTGAATTTAAGATGACCCCCCAATAATTAAATTCTATACATGGAAAAGTATAAATATAATTTTCCATGTACAGAATCTAATTAGTGGAGGGTTGTTGTAAATCCCTCCCACCCCACCCCATAGCTATGGTTGGGAAAAGCAGTGGCAGGGGAGAAGGGCCAAGCCCACAGCCTTTGCTCCCCTGCCCCTGGTCCCCCTAATGCCTGTACCTGTCTTCCCTACTGCCATGTGCCTCCCTGCTGTCTGCCCCTTGGTGCTTGTGCCTACCCCCTGCTGCCTGCCCCCTTTCTCCCATGCCTGTGCCTACCTAATCAGTGAGGAGCTGGAAAAGGAGCTGTAGTACACTGTGTGTCCCACTGGAAAGGATAACAAGTGTTGGGCATCTAAGATTACATCAACATATTTGGCAATCCCAACTGCACACTTCCTGGCAGCTCTGCTGGAACATTGGGGTTGCCCTGAATGTCCTGCTCCTAGCTGTCAGGTGCTGCTGTGGCAAGAATTTCAGACAATGAAGTTGTCATAGATCCTCTACTGTCTGCTTCTACCTGCTGGATCCAAACCAACATAGAGCAGGAGAAAGAGGTGGCCCTAACAGCTGCTGGCTGACCCAGAATGTCCCCACCAGCAAGGAAGGTCGGGGATCAGAAGGAGGGAACACAGCTTGGTGGGTAGGGAATGAGGGTAGAGTGGGAAGTTTTCTCCAGAACTCCCTTGTAGCTCTCCACCACATCGCACCTTCCCTCTGTTCCGTCATTCTAGCATCCACCACTTGCATTAACAGCCCTGCTTTTGAACAGTAAAGGCAATGGGCTTCTGCCTCAACCTACATCTACTTTAAAACAAAAGGAAATGTCACACACAAACCCTTAGAGCATTTTTCAGTTGTGTTAAGATGCCATGTTCTTTGGAGTCAAGATTGGAAAGGGCTTATCACGTTTTAGCTGCTATTGCTAAATGCTGTTTTTAATCAATCACTTGTCTATACTGACCCCGAAGCCTGAAAATAGAGAATTGCTAACGAGATGGGATTTTAGGTTGGGTTATAATCCAGTTGGTGTAACCACTTGTGAGACTTGCATCCTTTTGGCCAAAGTATCTTGCAACCAGGGTGCTCTGGCACCCTGGGGTACTTTTAAGGATGCCATGGTGTGCCTCAAGATATTAAGAATGTTAATTGTGCAAACACCTGCACCTTGATTCACAGGGTAAACCCAGAGATTTCAAATCAGAATCCATATTGTCAAAAACATTCTGACCTGTTGTGGTTTTTCTGAGTTCTTTATTCTGAGTTATTTTAGTAGTGGTAAAAAAAAAAAAAAGAGTTAAAGTTAAGAGATGGCATTTTCTGAGGGGTGCCTTGAGTCTAACAAGGTTAAGACCCACTGTCTTACATGGATTAAGAAGAATTGGAATCCAACCTAAGGGTGGAAAGTTTAGATGCAAATATTTGGTTTCAAACCCATGATTCTCTTGTCTAGTGCCTTCCCTCCCAATCTTTTCTAGAACTGAGAGAGGTTTAGAACAGAATAGTGATTCTTGGTCTATATTTACCTTCAGTTTAAAGATTTAGGGACTTCAAGACCTCACCTGTCCTGGATTGTTTCAGGAGAACAATGTAGAGTTTGGTGGTTAGAGCACTGTCCTGGGAGATGTGGGTTTGGCCTCAGCTCTTTCTCCAATATCTGAATTCCTGGATTCCTCTCTGGAAGCCAAGTACCTAAATGCTAGGCATTGGGGTATCTCACTTTTAGGCACATAAGTCTTATGGATCTGACCCAAACCCTACATAACTGTATGCTTGGGCTTCTATATTTTAAAACCTTCCTCAGTAGAGAATTACAAAAGTGTTTTCTGAGCGTTAAGTAGACAAATAGCCTTTTAAAAAAAGGCAATAACCTTAGCAGGATAATGACACGTTAAACATTTATTTTGGCTAGCACAGCTCTCTCTCATAAACTTTGCATATTTTTGTCTCTGAGATTTTATTTTTCATTGGCTCACATTTACCTAAGTGCATTTGAATCTAAACATGCTGATTGTTTCAAAATATGGTACGTTGCTCCATATGGCTTTAGTAAAACATAAACATATAATCTTACAAACAGACAGAAGAGAAAGCATTGTATCTCTCTCTCTCTCTCTCTCTCTCTCTCTCTCTCTCTCTGCTAGGCAAAAGCAGGCCTGAGCCACCTGTTAGCATTACATCATTGGCTCTCAAGAACACAGTTGTACCAAAGGCCTTAAACAAAGTAGTTCTTCTTGTATTGTTTGCACTCAAAGAGCTGATGTCATGCCAGCTGATGTCATTGTATGCCTTTGTGTAATTGCTATGGAAACCAGGCAGGTGGGGAGCCTGAAGCTGATGTAATTATGAATGAGGTGTAGAAAGAAGTTTTAAAAAAAAAAGCCTATGTCTGCTTCTTGGTCTAGTGTTTTGTTGAGCTATCCTCTTGAAGAAAAAAGAAGTACTGCTTTAAAATCCTAAATTATAATTGGAGGTAGAGGGAAAGGATGGTTGAAAAAAAATATTTCCCCCAATCCATTTCCCCACCCCTTCATTTAATTTCCTAATTTGTTGAATATTTCCAGCTAATCTAGGCAGAAAAAGTGGGGCTGTTTGCTGTGAGTTAAGCAAGCTCCTTAATTGTGGTAGTTATGAGAATATGCTTGAAAAAAAATTGTGCTATTCCCCAGTGTGAAATATTAAGGGATTACATCCTTCTCTGTCTGTTGAATTGTCCCTAATGAAAATGTTATGCTGTGTGGGTGCCCTGTGGGGCTGCCCTTCTCTGAGTAAATCAGCAGTGGTCTCAAACAGATAAAGTTGAAAGACTTACATAAGTCTTTCAGCATATGCATTTACAGCTGAAACATTTACCACTGAAAATGTTTAATTTGCTGGGTGCTACTTTTTAAAGCAGTTTTTAAAATGATTACAATAGCATTTTGTTTAGTGAACTACTTCCTTGTTCTTACCCTACAATACTCAGATTCCTGCTGTGTCACAGTGACTGTACTGATGTTGTAGGAACACATGTAGCAGTTTGCATGCTTCTGTCAGTGCTGGTCTTGTCTATGCCAGGAAAAATTGGTGCATGAATTGCAATAGCTGCTAGCAAAAGTGCACCTGCATTTGGTGTTGCAACAAGGGAAGCGCTAGTAATGAGGAGAACTGAGCACCTCTACCACTCTGCCATAAGAGCTTGCTTTGATAAGATATAGCCTCAACTGTAGCGTAATGTTGAACAAATCTATGCACAGACTTGCAAGTAATAAGTTCTTCAGAGGCCCCAAGTGAAATCTCTACTCAGTCTCTCTCTCTTTCCTTACCAGGTGGACTCAGCAGTTTTAAACAGAACCATGAAAACCTCTGTGATAACTCCCTCCAACTTCAAGAATGCCCAGAAGGAGGAGGAGCATCGGCAGTGGCAGCCACACTACCTCAGTCCATCCCTACCACCCCAGACATAGAGAATGCTGAGCTGACCCCTATCTTACCCTTCCTCTTCCTTGGCAATGAGCATGATGCTCAGGACTTGGAAAAGATGCAGAGGATGAACATAGGATACATAATCAATGTTACCACCCATCTCCCCCTCTACCATTATGAGAAAGGCATGTTCAACTACAAGCGGCTGCCAGCCACTGACAGCAACAAGCAGAATCTAAGGCAGTACTTTGAAGAGGCTTTTGAATTCATAGGTAACTATTCTTTGCCTGTTGATTATCCTTGTTATACTTGTTTAAACATCTTCAATGAATTTAGTGCAGAGCTGATGTCCCAGAAGGCTCATTAAAGCCTGCTAAACTTTTTTTGGTTGTCAGAAATGCTGAGAGGCTGTAGCTTCCACTGACTCTAGTATTATGGTACAAAAGTCCTTCTTAGTTATATATACTTGTATATTACTCACCTCCGAAATGCAGACACCTCCAACTTCAGAATGAAGCACCTGTTTGGCTATATCTTCACTTCGGTGTTAGCTCCGAATTTTTACTCGGACGTTGCCATAATTAGGGACCTACTTAAATAGTGGTTTTGCTGTTTTTGCGAAGCCAACAAAAATGGCAGTTTCTATGATCACTTTGAGAAACAGCGTTGATTGTGATTTTGCATGGAATTGACCCAAAAAATGGATACCAGAATACAAAGAGAGCACGGCAATCACTGCAGCCATAGAGCACATCATTTGAGTGAGAGCTACTGAGAGGCTGAGCTAGTAACCCAGAATAAGTGAAGATGCCAGTCAAGAAAGTGAAAGTTTTTCAGCACCCGAGGGGTAGGGCCATTAGGGCCCCTCTGCCAATCATCAGTGAGGGGTGGGGCTGCCACAAAGCCCATGAAATCAGGTCTGCACACTGCAAGCAGGCCACAAAAAACCCTTGATCTCACTACAGTTTAAAGCCATAATGTGTCTCCTTGCCCACACACAAACCTTGAAGTTTAGCAGAGCTTTCAGCTCAGGATAGCTGGCATAGTTTAGAGAGATGTCAGAGCTCAGTTGCTGCTTTCACTTAGACTTTTATTTAGACTACTTTGCAGTAGGAACACAGGCTAAATCACTTGAGTAGTGAGTCTCACAGTTCTTTTTACAGCACCCTAAAGGACAGACATGTTCTCCCACAATTTCCTGGACAAGAATCACAGAGCATATTGGCTTATTGTAACACAAGAAACCACGGATTATACCCCCAGAAGTCTGAGTGAAATACAGAGGGTAGCACAGTACCACTATGGCTTTTTTGTGTGGCTAGACTGATCTTGGTACTGATCACTTGGACTAACTTCAGTGAAGACAGATGGTTAGGAGCACACCAGAGTACTATGATATAATGTAGGTTCCCAGTTGTGCAATTAGATTGGCTAAGGTGCCCCCCTGCACTAAGACCTGCTTCTCAGAAGCACCAGACGCCTACCACTTACATTATCTGTATTGGTGTTTGGGTGTTCAGCACCTCTGACTTCATTCTTACATTGGCTTTCCTGGGGCTCTGCCATTGTTGGCACAGTGTTGGTATTCACTGTCAGGATGTATTTCACTGAAACCACTTAAATATGTCTTGCGTCATGGCAATACTAATGCTAGTGGAGAATTTCTCATCAACTCTATGTATTCCAACTGTAGTGCTTTAATTAAGATGAAAGTGTAGCTGCATCAAAAGGCTCTAAGAATGGTTACATCATTATAAGCAATATAAATAAATAGGTGGATTGTAATTAGCTGTGGTGGAATTCTTTTAGTAAAAGCTTCTCTAACAGCTTTTCCCACAGATGCTCAGGATCACTACCCCTTCCCTCCCCTTCACCAAACAATAGTGAGGTTGTGCATTTAATAGGCTAATTTGCCAAGTCTTTTCCCATTTTACTAGCTGAAGCTCAGGTTGACCAGTCAGAAAAGTAGTGTAGTGAGGATACTGAAACATAGCTGTCTCTGTGTGCATGGCTGCACAGCACAGCCATAAGGCAGACCCTGGTTTGTGCTCTTCTTCACTAAATTAGCTTCTCTAAGCTTTGATTACAGAATGAGTGGGAAAGTTAAGTTGGCTTCTTTGGCAAGAGTGAGGGGAGTACCATTTGAGCATGAGAGAAGAAGAAAGCTTTGTTTTTATCCCTTTGAATTAGAAGAGAAGCTGGGTCAAGATAGTGTGCAAAATCTAAATCAGAAGTGTTTATATAAACTCACATTCTTGAGGGGGAAAAGTTCTGTGTTCATCATCCATATGAACTCTGAGGTTTATAACTTAATCCAAGGGCAGAAAGGAACTTGAATGCCTCGTGCTGGGAGGGCAATGATGTGCTGGAGTCCAGTTTCTTTTTTTCTTTGGTGCTCTGTCTTTCTAAAATGTTCATGTATGAATTGTATGGTAGTGTGGCACATTGAGGTATGGTTTCTGGAACTGGCCTCTCCCCAAATTCTGCTTGCATTGCTATTCTACTTAACATGAAGAATCAAAGTTTCTTTATCACTGATATTTCTCCTTCACAAAACACTTTATTAAGAAGGAATATTGGCTAGTGCTTTGTATCGTGCACAAACTAGGTATAGTTGCTTAGAGCAAATAATTTCTAACTACTGCTGTAAGTGATTAAAAATATGGCTGGGCACTGGAGAAGTTGAAACATAGCTGGCCTATAGCAAAGAACAACGAACCAGAATTTCTATGTTCTTTCACTGCCTTGGCCAGACTTTTTGAGCAACCCAAATTTAGTTATTTACCTTATCTAAAACTTCCCCTTATGCCTAATGGACATAATGCTGCTTTTTTAGAGAGGTTGCAAAAAAAAAAGCACATCTTTAGTTAAAATTCATTTAAAATGTGAATTGGTAGAAATCTTTCCCAGAATAATATTGTTAAACATATAACAGTTAATAATGAATGTCTTGCAACTCCCTCTCGTGAGTGACAGTAGCCACTCGAAGTTTAGACTAAAATTTTAACCTCTGGGCTTAGCCAGTTGTGCCAGAGATACAAATTGAACAACAGATCTGTTACTTCCCACTTTTGGGCCTTGACCAAAGACCAGGCTATTTCCTAAATAACTATTCCCTTGAAGCTCCCACAATATAACCATTGCAACCTTGTGTCTCTGGAAGCGTAAATTAGATAAGACATAGATTTAAATGAATATGAATTTCTGGCTGTCCAAAATGAAATTCAGAAAGTATGGTGTGGTATGGTATCATTTTTACTCCAGTATACATTCTGTTGTTATTTTAAATCCATGGCTTTTGTAGCTGAGAAATTAGATTATCTCTGATAAATCTTTTTTTCAGTTTATTGTATGTTGCATTAAGACTTTTCTCTTTAATTTTAAAAACAAAATAAAAAAAAAATCCCCCCCAGATGGAAACACCTTTGTAGCAAACACATGTTACTTCTGTCTTTCTGTTTCTGTTTCCAGAGGAAGCTCACCAGTGTGGAAAAGGCCTCCTCATTCATTGCCAAGCTGGCGTGTCCCGCTCTGCCACCATAGTCATAGCATACTTAATGAAGCACACATGGATGACCATGACTGATGCCTATAAATTTGTCAAAGGCAAACGACCAATCATTTCTCCCAACCTTAACTTTATGGGGCAGTTACTGGAATTTGAGGAAGATCTAAATAATGGAGTTACACCACGAATTCTTACACCAAAGTTGATTGGGGTAGAGACTGTAGTGTGACAGTGAAGCTAAGAAGAGGCATTTAATAAAGAGATTATCATATTCTTCACTTGATTTGGGAGTTGGGGGAGTGGGTTGGGTTTTTCTTTTTAGCTTCTGGGTTGTTTTTTTTTTTGGTTGCAAAACTTTGTGAATAAAAACCTTTTTTGTAAAGAGAGGTTTTTAAACAAGTCCAAGAACTTCACTACACAGGATGGAATGCCAATGAGATTTCCTTCCCAGAAACTGACATAACAGGGAGGCTTCACAACAAAACAATTTTTAAATCAATACAACAGGAAAAAACAAAACCCTGGGCTTTTCCCCCCTTCCTTTTTTCAGCTACTTGTAGAGTTTATGGCTAAGTAGTCTGTGCAGGTTCATAGACTGAAGAAAGCTACATTTAAGACAAAATACAAACAGCCAAAACAAAGCAGAAAAGACTGTCAGTGAAATGTGGGCCTTGATTCTACAAAGGGTTTGCTAACGATCACAAAACAAAATGCTCACTGGTGGAAACGAGATCAAAGCAGCTTAAAAAGTCTGTGAGCCACTTTTTCACACTCCTGGCAGAAACTAAAGGAAAAGAATCTTTTATTTGGCGTGTTTCATGTTCCGGTTCTATTTTTCTATTTTTGGGTGTAAGGGGTTTTAACAGCAAGGGACTTTGACCATTCTATGCCATATGCCTTCACTGGCTTCTTGTGCAATAATAATTTGGGGTTTATTTTGAGTGTGCAAAACAATTAAGCTGGCTGCCCAATAATAATAATAATAGACGAGAAATAATTTTTAAAGTCTAATAGTGCAACAGTGGCCAGCTTGTTCAGAAGGAATAAATGAAAGCATTTTTTTTCCTTTTTATGATTTGATTCTGGTTCCAGTGCCATAAACCTTGTTACATATGTATATCAGAATGTACAAAAATCAAGAACAAGCAAAGTTTATTTAAGATATTTTTTCGCACAAGATATTGGTGTGTTTCAGTTGTCTATGTAAAAAAAAAAAATTTTGATTATAAAAATGAAAATTCTTTTGGAAAACGTGTGTCCTTTTTATTTCTTTAATAACTTTCTGTTTGCTTTCTGTGGGATGGGTTGTTTGCTTTTGTAGTTTTATTTGGATAAAACAGGTATTCCTAACTTTATCTTTTCTTCTTTTAAGTGTTCTCTTCCTAACTCCTACTGGTGGTATGTACTTTATTTATTTTTCCCTCTTTTGTTCTTCACTCTCTTCAACCATTTTTTTTATCTTAAGACTCCATCAAATTCTAAGCAGTATGACTGAACTAAACTATCAGTGAGGACCTAATGTCTTTTCAGCTTGGTAGTAAAGCATTCATTTGGAAAACTACAGTCCTTTCAATGATTTTTCCCTGGCCTCTGTCCTCTGCAATTTAGCTTATCTCCTATGTTATATTGCCTGTTCTACAGGAACATGCTGGTCTCTTGTGTGCATCTTACTGGCCTCTAGATCCTACTCCATTATAACAATCTTGCAATTCAAAAATGTCAGGATAATCCTGTATACTACTGCATATTTCACTTCATCCTCTTCGTTTATTAGCCATATCACTGTGTAAAGTGTGATGCATATCATAGATCCATTGTTTATTGCTGATCTTAATTAGATGGGTTCTCCCATTCCCATATTGATTCCTTTATTTTAATGATCCAACATACCCTAGTCTATTTATGGATAGTTGCCACAACACTTTTTACTTGTATGGACCTGAAATGGATAGAAAACCTTTTTGGCTGACTCTTGTACGAAGTCTGATAGCAGTGAAGACTCCTCATAAATCAAACTTTATACAGACTGAGCTAAACTAAGACAGGCATGTCAGAAAAAAAATCGTATGTATGATCACATTAGACATGTATATTTTTGTAGCTTTTTGCTCAAAATGTTGTTACTATATAAATATTTTCTTGAAATTTATCCCTTTATTAAATTATTTTTCTACTAGAATGGATTTTTTTTCTTTTTCTGTGATCAGCGTTAGTCTGCTAACTACATACTTTGCAGTGAACATTGCATATGTAGTAAAACCCTACCCTAGGAGTGGTTGCTTCTGATGACAAAATCTAGTTGCTTAAGACAGAGCATTCTACTGGAAGGGATGCAGTGTATATGTAGACACTTGTGATCATGTGTGATACTGAGGAAAGTAAGTTCCTTAGTAAAGATGGCCTTTTGCCCAGGCTTCATTAACTTCTGATCTTACTTTAAGTGATACTTGGTTTTTGTGGATGTTTCTTGTCTTGGTTTTTTTTTGTGTGGGTTTTCAGTCAGTTGCAGCTGCTGTCAAATGATACTTGTTTAGGTGCAAATCAGTTGATCTGTAAAGCTATGTCTACAGCTCATTGTGAGCCAGAAAAATAGCTTCAAGGTTATTGGCTGGCTGAAAATCAGCCCATTTTACAGGTGGGCAAAGACCAAATCTCCTTAAATCATAAGCCCCCAAAAAGAAAACAGATCATTCAGCCCATACAGCATGTGAACATGTAATACATTCATGGTTTTATATATTGGCTATTATATATAGGAAGCAAAGGTGTGTGAGATTTTAAGAGCCTTGTTTCATGTTGCACTTTGAGCTGCTCAACTGTTGAGCAGCGTTAGTACTATCTCAAGTTTGGACTAGTCCCACCTTAAGGCTAAAAGCCTTCCCTGACTATCCCTCACTTGCACATCTGTGACTTGCTACTAGAGGGCTGATGAGCAGGGGCCTGACTAAGAGCTAGAGTCAAGTTGCCACTACAAGGCTGGTAAGCCAGGACAGGCCTCTATCCTTGCTCTAGGTGGTGGGGTGTGAGAGATGGGTTGTGAGTAATGGGTCAGGAACGTGAAGCTGGGAGGTGGAGAGTTCATGGGATGGAGGTGGGTAATGAAATGGGTGGTGAAATGGAAGAAATCAGCCACTGAAAGATAAAATAAGTAGTAAAAAAAAAATTGAAAAAGAAATAAAGAGGAAGTAAATTAAAGAAGAAGGTCTTGTATAATAAATTGGGATTTGGGGTTGTGTGTGTTGGGGGTGCTCATCATGCTTCCTGGGGTGGCTAGGAGGTGGGAGCAGTGAAGCAAGGCTCTTTTGGGGAAGCTAGTGTCCCTGTCCTGGGAAGGAACCCTGAGCTCATGGGGATCTGATCCAGCCCCCTACCTTATCACCACAAACCCATAGACCACAAACCATCATCAGGAGCACTACAACTTTTGGAGCCCATAGGACATACTCCAGAGGTACAGGAAGGGAATTTCTGATAGAAAGGTCTTAGCTGTGCAGGCCC